ATGCCACATCATCTGATATTTTCAATTAGGGGAAGGGTGAGGGTGGGCATTTATATGCTGAATAAATTGTTTCAAATATCTGTATGTGATAATGTTAATTAAAATAAAAAGTAGCTTGTGAGTGTTATTTTTTTTTTTAGGCACAAAAGGTAGGATGGGAGCTCAGGGTTTAAGAGGAGAGTGTGAGTTGCCATCTGGAGGCACTTTTAGGTTCAAGTCTAAGAGACAATAAAACAGAGACTTTAACCTGTTGATCTGTTCATCATTAACAAATATTTATTGAGAACTTCGTATGATGGTAGGCCTCGTGCTATGCACTGGGAATGCGGCAGTAAATGAAAAGGGTACAGATCCTGTCTTCATGGAGTTTCTATGCTTTTTTTGGATTTTACATTTTACTGTTAATATTTAAAATTGTGGTAAAATATACATAACATGAAATTTACCGTCTTAACCACCATAGTTCAGTGGCATTAAGTGTATTCACATTGTTATGCTACTATCACCACCATCCAGCTCCAGAACTCTTTTCATCTTGTGAAACTGAAACTCTATACCCACTAAAAAGCAGCAACTCCCATTCCCCTCTCCACCTAATCCCTAGAAACCACCATGTTACTTTTTGTCTCTGAATTTGACTATTCTCCGTACCTCCTGTAAGCGGAATCATACAGTACTTGTCTTTTTGTGATTGGCTTATTTCATTTACCATACTGTCCTCAAGTTTTAACCATGTTGCAGCATATGTTAGAATTTCCTTTCTTTTTAAGGCTGAATAATAATATTCCATTGTATGTATGTCACACATTTTGTTTATCCATTCCTCTGTCAATGGACATTTGGGTGGCTTCCACCTTTTGGCTATTGTGAATAGCGCTGTTCAAGTCCCTGGTTTCAGTTCTTTGGGGGTATATATCCAGGTATGGAATTGCTGGATCATACGGTAGTCCTGTTTTTAATTTTTTGAGGAATTGCTATACTGTTTCCATAGCAGCTATACCATTTTACATTCCCACTAGCAATGCACAAGGGTTCCAGTTTCTCCACATCTCCATCAATTGTTGTTATTTTCCTTCCTCCATTCCTTCCTTTCTGTCTGTAGCCATTCCAATGGGTAGGATCTATGGTTCTTCGAGACATCTTTATGCTTTATTGTAGAATCTCCTGGTCTACGGGAGATTCTATGACTTCTGGGGTGTGTTTGTGTATGTGTGCGTGTGTGTACACTAGTCTTTTTTGGAAATATTTTTACTATTAGTACCCAAGCCACAACCTACCAAGAGTATGTGGCCATGAAAAAACCCTAACTCCACAAGTAGGAAGGGCCTCTGCGGGTGCCCTCTACTCTTAGAATAAGAGGGAGGTGATATAGATGTTAAAACCCAAGAGGCCAGATTTTGAGGGATCTGGTCCTACTTGGAAGGGAGGGCTTCCCTGGGAAAAGTCTAACATCGATTCCTCTAATTCATGACAGGAGGAGACATTGGTCCACCACTGCCGACAAGACCAGCTAAAGGAGACAGTGCAGGTGAAAAACCGGAATGATGCAGTGATGTTTTAGAATGGGGATCAGAAAGGTGGGCAGGATGTAGTAACAGCAAAATCATATAATATTCACATTACTCTAGTGCTTATAATGTTTCTAACATTATCACGTGTATTCATCTATTTACAGCCATGTCTTTGGCTACACCACTGCTTATTAACATGTGCACCTTTTCCAGCAGGGTGAAAAAGGAGAAAGTGAGGAAGCAGCTTGCTCCCTTGAGGTCCTGTGTATACAGAAACCCATAGAATGCTGAAGCTAGAAGGGACCTTAGAGGTCACTTAATTCAGTCTTCACCTCACAGATGAGGAAGTGACGAAGTGGCTTTGGGGAAGGTGGAGGTGGAATATTACTCTCTTCTCCCATAAGTAAGTACACATCATCTGGGAAGTGCTGGAGTTAGAAACCAAAGACCTGTTTCTGTGATAACTGCCAATCCTTCATTGATACCCTAGATTGGCTGCTTTCTGATTTTATTCCACAACAGCCTCTAGAATATGTTTTATAGTCATAAAAAATATTCTGTGAATATATCATGCAGACTTGGCTGTCCTATAAATACATATTTTCTTGTAGCTGGATTTAATTTTTCCCCCACAAACTAACTGCCCAGAAAAGGAACTGGGCTTGTATCACCATCCTCTGGAGTGCAGGACCCCAAAGATAACTCCCCTTTTTCCTAATTCTGCCACACAGTGGTGTGAAATGGATATAAAAACAGGGCAGAAAAGGCACCCCCCCACCCCCCGTATTGCCCACGCATAAGAGGAGGCGGCACCTTGCCCCCCACAGGTACACACAGTAGGGGACACCCTGTTTTTGTGAACCAACAGTGAATGTGGCTCTTTGTCAATGGCAGGGCCTGACAACGTCCCTCATTACATTCAGGGTTAGAGCAAGAGTCCCCAGGCTGGCAGGAAAGGCCAACAGGAAGGCCTGGAGTGGACTCCTAGGAGGGGGGGAGGAGCAGCAGTCAGCCAGAAAGTGTCTCTGAATTTGTGACAGCAGCAAAGGGTCTCAGTAAGTCCAGCAATTAACATATGGGAAACTAAGTGGAAGAAAAGTGAAGGGACTCGCTCAAGACCTTACAATCTATGAGGGGCAAGGCTAAGACAGTTCTGTCTTCTGATTTCCATGCCCCAATTCTTACACTGGTGAAACTTTCTGCCCGTGCTATTACTTTGCTAGAGGCACTTGAGGGGACGCAAAAATCACAGCAGGTTATGCTAAGAAGCCCGCGGCAAGCGGCACTATGGTCACTATGGGCGTATAGTTCTCAAGCTCCCATTTCTGATGCCATGACAAAATGCCGCTTAGTGAGTGAAGGGGGCTTAAGGCTTTTCACTTGTAGATGGAACTTAGTGGATGAGGACAGCTTAAAACCACTGTAATGTGGGCAAGCACATTCAGCACATCCCTGGAGGTTATGCAGGGCTTTGCAGTGCATTAAATTACTCAGAAGCTGTAAAAACCATTCCTGCCTCCCTTCTGGCCACCCTGAGGGATTCTGATATGACTGGCTCCTGGTTAGCAATCACTTCTGCAGTGAGCCGGTTACAGACTGGAATGTATCATATCCCTAGGTGTGCTGGGGCAGAGAAAAGTTTAAACGATTGACGTGGCTCCACAGTAACTAATCATAGGTCTGTGATCCTCTCACACAGCTGATCAAATCATTTCCAAGCATTTTCTAGAACAATTCTTCTAGACCAATAGACATGCAATGCAAATTACACATGTGATTTTAAATTTTCTATTAAGCACATTAAAAAAGGAAAAGGAAACAGATGAAATTGGGATCAATATATTTAAACTCAATATATCCAAAGTATTGCCACTTCAACAAGTAATAAATGTATATATGTTTTATATTTTTCATACTCAGTCTTCAAAATCGGATGTGCGCATACTCACAGCACACCTTGATCCACAATTAGCCATATTTCAAGTGCTAAGTAGTCACACAGGGCTCGTGGCTACCACATCGGACATATTACTACCCTTGCCTCTCTCACTGACGTCTGTTTACTCCAATAAAAATAGAAATTTCTCCATCCTGTAGCCATTCCTACCTATCTCAGGGCACTTTCCTTTCCAGGTCTAGTGATTCTAGGTGGTCTTTATTCCATTTCAACTCTCCTCCAACTGTCCGTTCAGTCATTAAGTAATCATCACTGAGTACCTACCCAGTGCCGGGTGTTTGTGTTAACTTATGAGGATGTAAAGATAAATATGACGTAGACCCTGATATCCAGAGCTCTCGGCTTGGTGGGAAATGCAGGCACATACAGGAGAATTTGGTGAACACTATACAGAGATACATACGAAGGGGTGCACAGAGGAAGGAGTACTGCTTCTTCCAGGGCTTCTGGAAAGCATTCACAGAGGTGGGACATTTGCGCTGAGTTTTAAGGGATGAGGAAAAATTGTGGAGAGGCAGGGAAAGGTGTTTCAGCCATAGGGAAAAGTATGTTCAAGACCTAAGTATGACGATCTGCATGCTTGGAAATGGCAAGTGGCTAGTAGGGCAAGAAGATGGCAAGGAGGGCCTGGAGTGAGTCTGGTGAGGTGAGCTGGACCTCAGATGCCCGAAGACACACTCAGAATTACTGGGGGTCATTCTCCAGAAGGGGGAACCTTAAGGCAGGTTGTAACACAGATTGGAGAGCATAAAAGAGTAAGGAGAGCCTGAATGATGGGGTAGCAGTATGTCTAAATGGAGGGGACGTGAGCACTCAAGTGCATGAAGGGAGTATAAGAGCACTGTTTTCTGCAGACAGTCTCTCGATGAGGCCTTATGATGGAACCTGGGCAAAGGGTCTAATAGTTAAGGTTTTCCAGGCCCAAACGCACGACGTAGGGGCATCAGGGCCACTAGCATCGTATTTATATAGGACTATTACAACCTGTGGGGATGTGAAAGCACCACATGGCCTCTTTCTCTGCAGGAATTAATAGGGTTCCCTATGGGTTAATTTAGGCAGTAGGCAGAATCAAGCTAAATTGCAGCCTTGCCAGGGAAATCATGGGTTTATGAGACCCAGCAGGTCTGGGCAGCACCTGACCAGCCTGATCAGATGATGCGGTGGCTTATTTGACCTTGAGTTTTCTAGAAGGAGGCTCTGACACTCTCAGGTAAGAACAGGGCAACAACAGCATGACATTTACAGTTAGAAGGAGGCTCAGAGATCCCATGGGTTCTCCTTTTATAGATGGGAAAACTGAGTCATGGAGAGGGAAATGGCTTATAAGGTCATATAAGCCATTCAGCAGCACTCACCCTTTGTGGCACCAAAGCCACAGTGAGATTGGAACAACAGGTACCATGGAGAACGTTTACCTTTATAGCAAACTCAAGTGGAGAAAGAGGATTAGGCTAGAGAGACACTAGGTAATAAAACTGTCTTTGTGAGCCAACAGTATTTAAATTAGTAGCAATAAACAAGGTACTCACATGGTGAAACATCTACAAAGTTTGGATCGATATTGTGCAGCAGCTCCATTCTGGGGGACGGGCTTCCTTCACTAGAAAAGAATTTTTTAGAAAATGTTAATTTCCTTTCTCAAATGGGTATCAATGATTTTAATACTTCCTTTCCTCATATTTACAGGAAATAACAAACCTGGCAGTTAACAACTTGCTCATGCATTCAGAGGCCTCCAAAATGTGTGGTTGTGCATCTTCAAGTAGTCATCACTTGTCTATATTGTCACAATGACTGAATGTTTACAGAACAACTTTAAGGTCAAGCACGTGACAATTAAAAAATGAGTCCTGTGACCCTCTGCAATAAATAATCTGGCTGTACTTAAACATGACCATTCGTTACAGCAGTGAAATGAGAACTCAAGTCATCCAGTGTAGACTTCATGCTGAACACTCATAGGGAAATGAAGAAAGAGCACCTGCCGAGATGGCGGCGCCCATATCACAGATGCGACATGCCCTTTAAATATTAGCCTGCATGAGAAAAACGAATGTCTTCCACATCTAAATTTACAACGTGAAACTTGCATGTAATACAACTACATGTGAAATAGTTATACTTCTTTAAGATTTTTAAAAACTGTATGTGCAAATACAATCACAACCTACATTACTGTTGAAAAGAACTTGGAGATCAGTTAGTCCAACGCCCTCATGTTACAAATGAGAAAGGCCCATGGTAAGTTACTGGCCACACAATGGGTAGTGGGTGTTTTTTAAAAATTGGGAGCATAAACACCACCAGATGTATGCCGGGTGTGCATGAGGCACCCATGTCATTTTGCTAGTATAGACTCAGCCTTATGGAAGAAGTTGTTAGATATAACTTCAATCGTTGGACTACTTGATAATCCAATAAAAGGTTGCAAAGTACCATTAACACCATAGGATTTGTCCACATGGGAATAACCAATAAGCCCCCTGAAAATAAGAGGACGTGTTTTCAGGTGGTTCAATGTCCACACCCCAAATGCACAGCTAGTTGTCTACAGCAGTGGCTTGGGATTTCAAGGACCCATAAATTTTCAAAAAATCTGGATTACGATTGGCAGCGTTGTATTTGCCAAGTAAGGAAATGTTAAAACAAAATTCGTGAATTAAAGACAAAACCAAAAAACTTTCAACTACCATTACCATAAAATAAAGGTAATTTTAATAGCAACAAAAGGTAGGATGAATACAATCTCAGAATAAGTGACAGTCCTTTAAAGTGAATATGTTTAACTTTAGAATTCTAAAAGATTTCCTTTTTCCTCTCTATTCCATAAAACCCACTAACTAGACAGTGAGAGGGAAATATGCAGGGATGCCTCTAGGCCTGGGGGCAGCACTATGTGGGTGGGGGGGGCAATATTTCCCTGGATTCCTCATTTTCTTCCTGAGGCATTTAACTAACTACCTGTATACCATGAGACTGTCAACCAGTCCAAAATGACAGGAACTAGGGTTTGATCCTGGAAGCTCTGAATGCAAGTAGGGATGATGAGCAAAGAAAATGGTGAATGTGAGAAAATCTTAACAGAATGATGATGATGGTGTCTAATTTGTAGGGTTAAAAACAAGCAAACAGAGCTAAAACCTGGATGATAAAAAGAGCAAGTAAGTCAGGAGGGGAAATCAGAATGAAAGCATTTTAAAGTCTTTGTATTGTTTGGAAGAGGGTAAAGCTATTCATTAAATTTAGATTTAGCTAAGTAAAATTTGCATGTTAAAATTTTAAAAACAAAGATAGGACTTTTCTGGACCATAGAAGAACAAAACAAAATTCATTCAATCCAAAAAAAGGCAAGAAAGAAGGAGGAGCCCCAAAATTTCTCATCTTTAAAAGCAGAGCTCACTGGAATACCCCCAAAGTATTAGGCATGGTTAAATAAAACATATTTTTCTAATAACTTTTAAAGAAAGTTTATCTGTATATTATTCATTTATTTCATTTTTCATTATTCAGAAGAGCCACAGATATTGCAAAATAAGGGAACTTAATAAGATGAGATGAATTTTGAACACTAAAGGTTGTGAGTAATCCCAGTGATGAATTATTTGCTGGGAAAAATCATCACAGGCAGAATCATCATGATACAAATCATGATGAAAAAAACAAAAGCCAACCAACCTTCCTAAGTACGCTGTGATGCTACTTTTTAAAATGTACGAATCAGAATATTTTGACAAGGATGTGGTTGGAGATATATGCCAAGGAAATACAATAGAAGACAAGTGATTAAAACAATAACCAAACACCCTAGGGACTCCAAGTTATTAAATAAATCAAGAAAACCAAATGTACATTTAAGGGAACTGAATAAAGTATCATAAATCTTGGGTTACTCCCCATCAAAATGTTAAAAGTTACTAAAATCCCTAGACAAGGTCATGTACCAATTCCCTGGAACTAGTCCTTTGGAAAGTGATGGATTTTAGAAATATTTCCAGGTGAATTTTTTTAAAAGAGGCATACATACGTGGGAAGGGAAGATGGTAATAATGGAAATATGGAAAAATATACACCCAACTGTTAGCTGGGATAGGGGGATGGGTGGGGTGAACTACAAAAGACTTTTATTTTCTACAGTGCTTTATATAACTAGCATGCATTATTACTGTAATCAGGAAAATTTTAAGCTTTTTTAAAGTATAGAACTTGTAAAAATTTCTATGCTTCCATAAAGACATTAAAAAGTATAACAAAGAGAAAACTCAGATATTTTACAGAGTTTGGGAGTTTAAAGACAGGAAAACTATCCAGAACTACGAGGTAGTTCTGCAGTATTTAAATGCATTAGTTGAATTTTGGAATTTAATTGCATGCTACCCACATATGTGCTATCTCATACTGATAATAACTGATCATGTAATTTCCCTCTCAGGAGTGTAGAAATTTCCCTGTATGTTTAAGATCAGGCTTGCGTTTAGCAAAAACAGTAATGGTTTTAGGGTCACTGGGTTCTCATGTCTCACCACTTAAGTCACTTCTTTTCATTTTGGTAAAGGGTTCAGAACCTCAGTGCCTGAGATGGAGGGAATAAGAGGAAAGAGAGGGAGATGTTAGGGAGAAAGGAGGGAGGGAGAAAAGGGAGATGAGGAGGAAGAAGAAGAGGGAGAAGGAAAGAAGGGAGAAGAGACTGTGGGTTTCCTTTAATAGTTACGCACCAAGTTAGCAGAGACTCACTAAAGCACTTAAACGCGCACACACACTACACACATCAACTCCACGTGGCGAATTTCAGTGGAGACAAGGGCATAGTATAGTGATGCTGGAACAGAGAAGTGGACCCAAGTCACCTGGAGAAGAACATGTGCAGAATAAGGCTGGTGGGAGGGATGGGGAGGGTGCGGTATGACATGAGAGATCGCAAAGATCCGCTCTGCAAAGCTTCATAACTTTGCCTAGGGAATACTTTAGAGCATTTAAAGTGATTCTGCAAAGACCAGTTACGGGTAGAGAGGCACTGGTCATTACAAGGTGAGGCCCATTGTTGGTGAGGGGAATCCTTCAGGCCCAAATGACACACCCAGGAAGAACACCCCCGGCTCAGCTCAGCTCCCACCATCTGTAGGAATTCAATTTCCCCAGAACTGAGAAACTGGACACCGATATTGGGACACTGGTACTCTGGTTATTGGGAAGGAATATCTACCACTGGATTAATAAACACTCTTTTTTTATATATATATTAAAAGAAAGGTAAGTTCAGAAGTAGCCACATATTTTCCAGTGCAGTTTAAAAACAGTCTTCCCTTAAGGACTCACAGGGGCTTCCCTGGTGCCGCAGTGGTTGAGAATCCGCCTGTCAATGCAGGGGACACGGGTTCGAGCCCTGGTCCGGGAAGATCCCACATGCCGCGAAGCAACTAAGCCTGTGCGCCACAACTACTGAGCCTGCGTGCTCAACTACTGAGCACATGTGCTGCAACTACTGAAGCCTGCCTGCCCGTGCTCCACAAGAGAAGCCACCGCAATGAGAAGTCTGTGCACCGCAACAAAGATTAGCTCCCGCTCGCCACAACTAGAGAAAGCCCGTGTGCAGCAATGAAGACCCAACGCAGCCATAAATAAACAAACAAACAAATAAATAAAATGTCCTTAAAAAAAAAAAACTCACAAACCATTGGCCACTTAAATTTGAGTAGTCTTTAATAATCATATAAAAGATCACACTCCTGTACCTGGAGGGGAAAATGCTTGATCATTTTTTTTCTTTTCTTGTATCTTTTTAGGGCAAACCTTCCCTACTGTTGCTGTACTCCCGTTCCTTCCCCACACCTCTGCAAATTTTTGTCATCAATAATTTCCACTTGCTCATGCATGTTCCTCTACCTTTATGTCAAAAACTAAATAAATAAATTTTATTTTATTATTATTATTTTTCTTTGTGGTACGCGGGCCTCTCACTGTTGTGGCCTCTCCCGTTGTGGAGCACAGGCTCTGGATGCGCAGGCTCAGCGGCTATGGCTCACGGGCCCAGCTGCTCTGCGGCATGTGGGATCTTCCCGGATCGGGGCATGAACCTGTGTCCCCTGCATTGGCAGGCGGACTCTCAACCACTGCACCACCAGGGAAGCCCATAAATTTTATTTTTAACTATCTTTTCTTCTTTTCACCATTAAATGTCCCCCAAACAGTATGTTTACATCAGTTATTCTCTCTTTGTCTCACATTAGAATCACCTGAGGAACCTCTAAACTACAGATGCTGTACCTCACACCAGAAGCATCACTGGGGGTGGAACCCAGGCGTCAATATTTTTTTGAACTCCCAGATGATTTCAACATTCAGCCAAGATTGAGAACCACTGACCTGGAGCAGTGCTTCTCAAAATATAGATCACTTGGGGATCTCATTAAACTGTGGATTCTGATTTACAGAGCCCGGGGGGTGAGGGGAGCCCAGGAGAGGCCACAACAGTGAGAGGCCCGCGTACCGCAAAAAAAAATAAAATAAAATACTGATGCTTGAGTTCCACCATAAGAGAGTGATCTCGTTGGTCTACGTTCAGCCTAGGCATAAAGATTTATAAAAGTACCCAAGCTGATTTTT